TTGTTTTGACTGCATTTGTCCTCCGGAGGCGAATCAATAATTTAAACTTAATTTATAGGATCAAGTTCTAAGTTCAAGAAATTATGAGTTCAAAATCTTTTAATACTTTTAAATAGAGTGGAGGGAGAATAGAAGTTTCGAATTCAGTCGAACCCAATAACGTTTGTCCAAATCATGTATTTGCCTTAAGAAATTAATTAAATATGGACAAGTTATTAACTCAGAACTCAATAACTTAAAAGATTTTGAAATCCGAACTCATAAAGTTTAAATTTTGACTATATATATATATATATGTGTGTGTATCTTTATGGTATAAGCAACAAAAAAAAAAGGTGAATTTAATTGCACCAATATTAGAAACTATAAATCCGTCCCACCCCCTCGTTAAAAGGGGTCTTTGACTCTATGTAGTCGATGCATCTAAGAACTCCCTACTTGACAGTTTACTGGTGTTAGTGCATCACGTGAGAATATTTTGACTGGAATATATGTGTCTCTTTTATCAAAATTTGAATATTTGGCGTTGAACTGATTGATTGAATATATTCTCGGAGCTTTGCATAATTGGTTATTGGACCTACTGTAGTTGCACGTTTTTTGTATTTTTTTTTTTTTTGATTCCTAGAGTTGTAGGCATGGGCGGATTTAGGGAAGGAGTACCCGAACCCCATTCGCCGAAAAATTACATTGAATATATAAGACAAAATTTATTTTTTATCTCTATATATTATGTTTTGAATCCCCTTGACACAACCCAAATGCATAATTTAGTGGTCAAGGGGTTCAAAATCTTTGTAAGTTCATTGGTTCAATTCCCACTAGCTTTAATTTTTTTAATATTTTTCTTTTTTGAACCCCTTAGCAGAATTGCTTCCGCCACTAATTGTAGGTGGTAGATAATGACCATGCGAGCAACTCATCTTGTCTGTATTTGCACATTGGTTTTTGACTAAAATACTTCAATTGGTAGTTGTCACAAAGCATCAATTGGTTCCTACTCCCACCATCCATAGCTTTCTGGATAAATTTGGAAACTAAAGTCTTTCCTCTTTCACAAGCTTGGATTTCATTACACTCAAAGTGTATATATTGTATATATTGTAAAAAAAATGTTTACAATTTGCTATCCCACAATCTGCAAGATGTGTAGTATGCCTAGTGTAGCTAGGCAATCAAATGGAGATGCCACTGTTGATCATCTACATATACTGATTTGTGTTTTTTTTCATCTTCAAATACCGAATATTTTGTCTTTACAAAAATTTCCCCTACTAAAATAAACTTCAATTGCTTCGTTCTTTAATTTGTTGTTTTCAAATATTAGCTTAGAACTGAAACAATTCAAAACCAAATATTTTTTTGTTCTTCCTACTCCTGTTTGAGATCAGAGACTTTAATTTCAAAGGACAACTGTACTTATCCATTTTTCTGTTAGTTTTTTCATATAATTTAGAGGATTCCAAATAAAATAAAATAAAAAAGCAATCATAGTAGTCATATCCAATGGGCTTCGATTTTCATATTCTCTATGTAAGATTTGATTCGAGATCCATTGTTAAATGAATTTTAAAGGGGTATTATCACTTTTAGCCTGCTTCATAAACTATTTATATTGGGTAGCCGAAAAAGTGTATAAAATTTGTATAATTTTTGTATATAACATACATACAACAACAACAACAACAACAAACCCAATTTGATCCCATAAATGGGGTCTGGGGAAGTGTACGAAGACCTTACCCCTATCTCATAGAGATAGAGAGGTTGTTTCCGATAGACCCTCGGCTCAAGAAACAATGAAAATAAAGCACCAAGTAGCAAAGAATGTTAGCAATAATGTAACATAGTAATGTGTGCGAATGCCGCAACATGCGTAATAAAGAACTGTAAATAGAAAATTACAAAAATAGTCCTAGTACTATTGAATGGCCTTGGAGGAACACACTACTATCTGTCAACTTACAACCCTAATCCTCGACCTCCACCGCTTCCTATCGTGGGTCATGTCCTCGGTAAGCTGAAGCAATGACATGTCCTACCTAATTACCTCTCCCCAATAATTCTTTAGGCCTACCCCTTCCCTTCTTCAGACCCGCCATGGATAACCTCTCACACCTCCTCACTGGAGCATCCATGTCTCTCCTCCTAACATGCCCGAACCACCTCAGCCTTGATTCCCGCAACTTGTCCTCCACAGATGCCATACCTACCTTGTCCCTAATAACTTCGGTCCTAATCCTGTCTTTCCTTTTCCTAGTATGCCCGCACATCCATCTCAACATCCTCATTTCAGTTACTTTCATCTTTTGGACATGGGATTTCTTGACGGGCTAACACTCAGCTTCATACAACATAGTTGGTCTAACTACCACTTTGTAGAACTTGCCCTTAAGTCCAAGTGGCACATTTTTATCACACAAAATCCCCAATACGAGCCTCCATCTCATCCACCTCGCTCTAATACGATGAGTAACATCCTCGTCAATCTCCCCGTTGCCTTGAATAATAGACCCAAGATATTTAAAATTGTCTCTTCTAGGGATGACCGGAGTACCAATCCTCACTTCCACTTCTTCTTCATGCATCCCCTCACTGAACTTACACTCCAAGTACTCAGTTTTCGACATACTCAACTTAAAACCTTTAGACTCTAGCGTTTGTCTCCAAACTTTCAATTTAGCATTAACTTCGCCTCGCGTCTCGTCAATTAGGACTATGTCATCAGCAAATAGCATACACCATGGAACCTCCCCTTGTATGTTACGCGTCAGCGTATCTAATGCTAAAGCAAACAAAAATGGGCTAAGAGCCGATCCCTGATGTAACCCCATCTCCACTGAAAAATGATCTGAGTCTCCTCCCGCAGTCCTCACCCGAGTCTTCGCTCCCTCGTACATGTCCTTAATCGCCCTAATGTACGCCACCGGGGCACCACTAGCCTCCAAACATCTCCATAGGACCTCTCGCGAGACTTTATCATAGGCCTTCTCTAGGTCGATGAATACCAAATGCAAGTCTTTCTTCCTTTTCCTATACTGCTCCACCAATCTCCTCACAAGGTGAATGGCTTCTGTCGTCGACCGTCCCAGCATAAATCCGAACAGATTCTCGAAAATAGTAACACTACGTCGCACCCTCATCTCCACCACCATTTTCCATACTTTCATAGTATGACTCAGCAGCTTGATACCCCTATAGTTGTTACAATTCTGGATATCACCTTTGTTTTTATACAACGGGATCATCAAACTCTGCCGCCAATCTTCGGGTATCTTCTTTGTCCTGAAAATGACATTAAACAAACATACATAATGTATATATAAAAAATATATATATATAAATTTTAGATATTTTTTCGGCTATTTTTTTTACAGCGACTATACAGTGTCATTTTTCTAAATTTAAATACAACGACATGTTGCTTTCTAAAGTTTGTAGCAAAGCTAACTATCTTGTAACTCTTTTACTTTTCTCGTTTTCATAGTACCTTAAAAACTTTGTATTAACAAAAAGGCAAAATACATAAGTTGCCACCTGACCTACAAATTCCCCTTGCACACTTTTTGCGGACGTAAATCACCTTGCACACTCAACCTTTCTAGAGTGTGTCTAAGACACACTACTTTTTTCTTGACCACTTTTTCAAAATATGAGTAATGTCACGTACCAATAAGGTCGTGACACGTGTTATTAAATTTTTTAAAAAATAAAACACTTAAAATTTACATATATACCCCTTTGTAATTCTATCTCTTTCTCTTTTGCAAGCATTTCTCTGACAAGAAGAAAACCAGACAGAACCACCTTCAGATTCAAGAGAACTTTAGGAGCCCAAGCCAACTTTAGGAGCCCAAGCCAAAATTTTAAAATTAAATAGCTCATTTTACAACAATCAAACAGATTGTTTCACTTCGAACCCACCTAATAACTTATTTCTAATTCATTTGAAGACCCATTTAAATTTCACAAAAACTACTTGAAAATAAATATGAAAAAAAAAGATAAAAACTTCACATTGCATTTCACCGTGAAAATTTGACTGGAAACTCGACCCGAACTTTGCTAAGCGGCTATTCATGGTGGCATCGGATAAAGAGAAGATGGGTGGAGAATGAAAAAGAGAATCTATATTGTGTTGGTGTGTGCCGCAAAATGAGGCAATAGAGCTCTGTAATTTTTCTCGATTATTTAGTTTCGTTTATCAATTTTTGAAAGTTGTGAACAGAGAATGGGGAAGAAGACAACAAATTAAATCTTAAAACAAATCGAAAATGAAAAGTGTATGGAAAAAACCAGCAGCTAAAGAACCAAAAAACTAGGGATCTACGAGAAAAATAATTCAAATCGTTTTAACAATTTCAAATTGAATGTGAATTAATAAATAGCCATAGTTTTTCAAGAGAAGAAAATGGTGTGAGATGAGGAAGGAGACCGGGTGTCGGAGGGGGTGTTCAAAGAGGAGACCAAATAATGTGAAGAGAAAGAAAAAATTTAAAATTTTGACACTTGTCATCTAAATAAGGATTGGAATAAAAAATTAAGTGTCTTAGACACATTTTAGAAAAGTTACGTGTGTAAAATAATTTTTGTTCGCAAAAAGTGTGTAAGGAGAATTTGGGCCATAGGTCAGCTGTAAACTTATTTTTGCCTAACAAAAATAAAAAGAAATATGTTTCCTCCTTTAAACAAGCACGGTAGCCCAAGCTGTCCCCCTAATATTCCTCTAAACAAGCATGGTAGCCCACACAATGTCCATAGTATGTGATAATATCATTGTTCATCCATTATTAGCAAATAGTTTTTTTTTTGACAGTATAAAAAACAATGTTGTACTATTAAGTTAGCTAAAAATTCTACAAACTTAGTATTTATTAATACACACAAAAGAGTGAATATAATCACAAACTTGTGTTGCATGACCATGAAACACCATAAAATGAACCCGAAAGTCACAACGAAGCGATAAATTTAAGCCACTACGCCGTTTCCTATGTATGTATAAAATTTCAGGCCAATTGAAATCCGTCAAAGTAATTCTACAAAATCAGAATGTGGAAAGTGGGGATTCATATGGCTTGAGAACACGAAACTTAATTGTTGGCAAAATGTTGATTCATAGTATTTGAATAACGTCGGGGGGTCAAAGACTATGATATCTGATCTAAAGCCAATAAGTTTATAAACACTAGTAAGTTTCTAGTTCACAAAACTAAGGCAGAGCCTATGCACCTCCATTTTGTTGAAGAGAGTTTACTGGAGTAGAGGAACCACTCCTCTTCCTTGCATGGCTGGAGCTGGACTGTCCTGTGAAGGTCCTTCCCATAAACTTTCCAGCTTTGCTTAGTCCACTGCCAACAGCTCCAAGACCACTTCCTACTATTCCTGCGCCTGCACCAATGCCCGTCCCCACCATGCCAACGCCTGAACCAACGATCGATGCTGCCCCGTCAAGGGCGTCCATAGTGCTGCCAATGACCCCTTCTGCCTTTAGCCTCTTTCTTTCTTCTAGGATCTTCTTCTCTGCCTCCAGAGCTGCTAACTGCTCTTCTTTGTTAAACTCATGATACAACACCTGCAACCGCAATCAATAAGCCTCAATACAACACGTAAAACTTCAATAACATAACACTTGACTTTGTCATGTACCTTCACTGTGATAGTCCCTCTATCTTTCTTGTCTTTGACTTTGAGCATGTCAAGTTTTGGAAGTAACCTTAATTCAATTTCTTTTGGGGTCTCCGCTTCCAGCTCATTCAGAGACAACTTTGTAACGCCCATTCGCTGGTCTTGCCCAATGTCTTTATCATATACCTGTCCAAAGTGATAAAGTACCACATTAATTCTCACATACACAATTAAATTGCAGTGCGTATATTGTAGAGAGAGCAGAGTCCAGGCAGAAATGAGAGAAAGGTGCAGAAATTCAGACCTCGAGAATAAGAGATTGAGTCTCCTTATCTTCTGCAATCAACTCAAATGTCTGGTCCCAAACCGGATTTAGGTTGTTGTCGATGGTTTTCGTCTTAAGCTTGAATAGTGGGCGAATGTATAAGACTACATATGGATCTGATTTTCCAATCATTTCATGATTCTTTAAGCCATTAGCCCTGACTATGGTCACTGTAAGCTTGCCCTGTGGCTTAAGCTCCAAATCACTGCATGGGAAACACAAACAACAGTTACATAAAAATGAAAATATAATAAAGATATGTGACAAGACCAGACTTTACATTCCATCCAAAAGACTACGCTGATGGGAGACATGGAAGAAACAACGAAAAACATCATATTGGTTTCAAAACAAAGTGAAACAGGACAAAAGGTACAGTAAGCACAAATTAGAGAAAGCAGTGGAATTAAACATGCTCAGTCGTCATTTAAAAATTTAGCAGCATTTGAATTCAATTTTGAAAGCAAACTCAAACAAAGTAGGATGGTAATACAGCTTATAACACAGACCACTTGAAGCTTAAAATCAGGAATGAAGGTTTCTCCGAAACTCTGAGAGGAGGGAACTAACTGGCTTACAGGATATTCTAAATAATGAGCTGAATCGCACAATCCATCACTAAAGGTGATGGATTGTAAGCAGTGAAAACATTGCAGAAAGAGAAAATCTTAACCACACGCGCGCGCGCACACACACACACGGAGAGAGAGATCCCGGGGAGGAAAAGACAGATCTATTATCAATGGCCAAAATACTTCAAAATTGAAGATACCTAGTATCCACGGGTATTCCACCAATTGGAACGACAATTCTATGAGGCCATTCTAGCATATCTGTGACAATTGAATTTACAGTATCCTTTCAATGAGAAACAAACCATTGTTAGTCTTGGAATAATAATTTGAACAAGAAATGTCCAGCGAGAGAGCCAATTAAACACTTACATCAATCATATCCGAAATTCCAGGAAGAGCTGTTAAACTACCACCAATAGCCTTCAATGTATAATCAATTCTTGGTTTTGGCTGATAGAAACAAACAAGGAGTCAGTAACAAAAATATACATCAGAATGTAAGAATCTTGAAAATAAGAGTGGCGGCACATTTGCGTTCTGAAAATAGGAGCACTCAGCAATTATAAACGATTGGTTCTAGGACTATGCAAAAATGAGTATCACATGTCATCTAGCCTAGTTGTTTGTTACTGGAATTTCAAATTGAGCTCCCACAAAATTGCATAAGCAAAAGGGAGAAACATACATGCCACATAATTCAGAATTCTAACCACTTCAAATATTTATCAAGAAGCATCATCCAGAGTTTTGCACACTTAAAAAAGGTGTCTGATCTTTAAGAGCCTAGCTGTTAAATGAGGGGTTCACACAGCCTTGAATCTTTACTATACCTATCAACAAATGTATCCATACAATGTTTCCGCGTGCTTTGGCCAAGGAAAAGAATCAGGTGTGCTTATACTCAAGTGTCTCAACCAAGATTGTTTTATCAACACATTGTCTAAGGAAACACTAAAAGCGTGATACAACCAAGATCAAGAAAAAGTGCCTCCTCCCCTCCCCCACCTCTCTCTCTTGGGGAGAACGGAGGGAGGGGGGAAGGGTGTAGAACATGATTCCCATGTCCACCAACTTCCATCCACACCCCCTTCCCCGTCTCCCCCAGGAAGAAAATGTCAGAACAGGAATTAAGAGGACCACAATTCAATGGGACCGAACCGAAGAATAGAATATTCAATGATAGAATTAGGCTATACCTCTGAAAGTAAAGCAACAACAACAGCAGAGATGCAAGGAATATCCTCAGCTAGTTGGAAGATAATACGAATAACTGTGAAGACTTGAAGATCTTTCAACTGCAACCAATTCAGGCGTTGGTTAGTCATCAGAGGAACAATGTCCAGAGCAAAATTGAGAGGTGAAAGATTTGTTTTTTCCTTCGGATCTGTAGACGGGTGAAAGAGTCTAGGCACCTACCTGAATGGGTATCGAAGCAACCATTGCAGCTTGCACACTTAACACTATATTGGGATCACCACCCCATCGAAGGTCAATATCCATGGTAATTTGATCATTTTTAAGGCTTTGAACACGAATACCTGCATTTCTCCCCCCAAAAGAAGTTAAATTGCTGTGTCAACTAATACAAACTCATTAAAGAATCTGACGCATGAAATAGACACCAAAAGTTTTATTGGGGATGCAATAATATCATGACTAGAGATAAGCTCAATGTAGGAGTATTTTGTTTCCATTAAGGGACATGAAGCAAAATTTAAAATGAAACTAGCTGAAGATACAAGATTTAAAAGGTGTTTTTGGTATGTCATACACACTTTTACCCAGTCAAGCTATGAAACATAAAATGAAACGGAGGGAGTAGTATATAAAGCTGTAACTATTCAGGTGACTTTTCAAACCATTAACACAATATCATCGTGTTCTCACAAAAGTAATGTCGATAGATTTTTCTCCTGTTCTTCAACAAAGACAGTAAAAATCATATAGAAAACTTGCATGACCACCATCTCATGAAGTTCTTTTGGAATCGAATCATGAGCGTAAATGAACTGAAGAAGATTTAAAACTTCATACAAAAATACAGATGAATCTCAAAGGTCAAAAACTAGAAAACTAGCATAATCACGATAAGTGTAGCAGCAGAGAACTCCCACTAAGACAAACTGACTTTTCTTTTCCAGATGTAACAAGAGAAAATATATTGGGAATAATGCAACCCGATCACTGAGTATTAAAAGACCAAGGTCAGTTATGCAAAACTAATTAAATGTACTTATTATCTTGAAAACTTGATTGCAGGAAATAGGCTGCATAAATTCTAAACTTAGACTTTCTGTCCCTGATCAAGTCATCAAACTGTTATACAGTTAAGAGGCAATTCATATGTAGAACCAAAGTACAAATCAATTAACAATGAAGAAATACAATGTTTGAAAGCACTAAGGATGTGCTGGTAGGTAATCCAGTAATAAATTTGATTTAAGCAAATAACTGAACAATGAACAGCTTTTTTTGGTTGATCGGTGAAAATGAATGGTTTATGTTGGTACCTTCAATTTTAGGTGCCACAGTTCCTAAGGACAATTTGCTGAACTTCAATGAAGTAATTCCAGGAGGTCGATAATCTTCTAAAAGAGGTTCAACGGATTCTTTTATAATAGCCTCGGCTGCCTGCATAGCCAATATACAAGAGGTAAGATTTATGACTTTATAACATGGCATTTGCAAATGAGAAACCTCGTTCAACCACACTATGAGACAAAATGTTATTGATCTAACTAACATTTTGACATTGATACAAGTGTTTCCACATGAAGAATGTTAACTTTATTGTCTAAATTATTCATGCTGAGCAACCACCATATCTGATTCGATATAGGAAAGCAATACAAGGAAAGCAGCTCGCAAGCATTGAAGTCCTGTGCTCGTAACTCTGCTTTCTGAAACCAGATCCACAACTCTGTATAGAACAAGTAGCATACTAGGGAATGACTAAATTTCAGGGGAGATTCTCTAAAGAGGAGAAAAGGTTGGGGATCACTATAACAGAAAATTTGGTCATTACACTGATAATAGAAGAAAACTTCATTTTTTTATCACTTAAAAAGAACCTCCAATTTAATTAGCTGTGCGAAGCACAATTTGATTGATAGTAAAGTTACCAGAAATGATTTATGAAGCAAAAATTGCACAAGACAAGAGCCAAAAGCTTACCTCGGCAACAAATGGCCACAGTTTGCTCAATTGTTTGTTCAACCATTTGACCTGCCAGCGCGAAACAGCATGAGACAAATATTTTCCGATGGAAGTATCATTTTATTGATGTTGTGGGGAAAATACCTCGTATAGGTATACCAAAAAGAAAGAGCCGCACAAAGATATTGTCTACTCATAAGACACCTACTCATCTATGCCTACAGGAACTTGGTGGGCGCTCCAAAAGTTTTGAGACAAAATAAAAGACAAGCCCTAAGTTGTACAAAGTCATGTTCCTCCCCTTTTTCGAAAAGCTCTCTCCTGCACCTATCTCTCCAGGGTACCTACATGAGTGCTAGCTGTAAAATGAGAGAAATGTAACATTGACAATGCGCATTATGCTTTATTTCTCTAGATTGCATAAAGGAAACATGTAAAAACACCAAATGATGCATAGCTTCCAAGACTCACGACTGCCACTCATAAGATCAGGAAAGGAGATAACTATTATCAGATATTTTTCTGTCCTCTCACTAATCTAATCTCACGTATTTACATTAGTCTTGCTTTCCTTTGCAATATGTGACCAACCGTTAGGCCCAAATTCCATTTCTTTATCACCTGACTCCCTATCTAGAAAAAGTGTTTTCCTCATGTTCATCACCACTTAGCAGTGTCTTTTCTTGTTCTAATTCATAAAGCCACAAAAGTAGAACCCACTTCAATGACCTCATCTCTAAAGCACAACAAGACATCATTGGTGACTATAGCACAAAGAATAAACTTCATTAAACAAAGAAGAACCGAGTAAATCTTTCTTAAACTCACAAAAGCAAGAACACTAGCATAATCTAATGAGTTGAGCGAGAAGAAATTCATTTAAATATGTTACAGACATTGATGATTTCATTTTCATCAACCCGGTCCAAATATACCTTAACAAACTGATTCTTTGAGTTCTTCCTTAGCTTATCGGAAGTGTTTTTCAGTCAAAGCCAGTACGGTGGGTTAAGCATTCTATGAAAGACAGAACAGAAATGTCAACCATATGAGGGGGAAAACAAACTATTGAATCCCACCAACCTGTTCATAAATTGGGAATGATATCCATTCAGGAAAATTATCGCCACACATTTTCTTTAGATCGTCCCTGTTGAGGGAGCCCATTAGTTTTACCTCTACTGCCTGTCAAAGGAGCAAATACGACGAAAAGATAAATATCAGCCTTTCAGAAGGGAAAAGCAGCTGCAGCACTTCAGAATCTAAATGATCCGTCATAACAAGTACGATAAGAAACACCATGCACACTAGTATTGAACCAACCAGTGAATAGTTCCTACTCCTCATAGCAAATTGAGGAGAAAACTTTCATTGTGTAACAGAGTAGAGAACGAAGCAGCAAAACTATCACAGAACGAGGCAGCAAAAGTTCAATAGTTTTATGCCCAATCCCCCCTAGAAGCTTCATCTGAGAGATACTTTTACCAATAAAAAATAAATAAATAAAATAGAGCTCCGTGTGCAAAATTTAGACAACTATCCATTTCATTTTGAGCAATTTTATAAAGTATTTGTCCTTCTTCTCTTCCAATGACAGCAACAGGTTCATGCGAGCTAGCTGGAGTCGGCTATATGAGACCTTTCGTAACAATTCTTTTAAATATAACCTCAATTAGCCATTGCAAATTGTGAAATTAGACAAATTACTCAAATTAAAAATAAGAGTCAACTTTAACTATTTCACCCGTAATGATGTTCAGCAAAGACCAAAGCCCGAGATCATTACAACACCAATCTTCAACACCATAAGCACACCAAATTACCAAAGAGAAATTGGTAGTAATTCACACATATCAAAGACATGAAATTATACCTTTGAAACTCGCTTGGCGCTTCGATACCTCATCATATGTTTCCAAGCCGCCATTAAACCGACTCCAAATATCATCCCCATCAGAATCCCAGAAATCAACCCCATTTTTAATTTCCTATCACAAAAACAAAGATATCAGATATAACCAAACCAGCCAAAAGAAAGAAGAAAAAAAACTACTGTATTAAACAGAAGAATTCAGAAAAAAAAAAAACCAACATGGAAACTTACAGTAAAATTTAAGAATCAATAAAAAAGATTCCAACTTGACGGGTAGTAAACAAACAGAATTTGTTGCACTCAACCCCCTTTCTTCCAAGACGTGAATTATATTGACTTCAACTTTTCTCTCTTAGAAGCAAAGTTCTATTAATGATTTCTTTAGCTGATACACTTTGAGTCTTTGACCTTTCTCCCTATAGCCTTATTTTCAGAAGTGGGTGTCAACCAAAATGGTTTATGTTGACAGAAAACTTTGAATTTTTTAAGAATATGTTACAGCTGTGATTAAGGCAGCTGTTTGTTTCTCTCTCTCTCTCTCTCTGCATTGAATTCTCAGATTTGTCTGTCAGTTTCTATCTGTATACGGAGTACTAGAATTTTTGAAGTTTACCTTTTTGAGTTTTGTCTGACCGTTTCTGTACTTTTTTGAAAGTTAAGGTTTTTCTGTCCGTTCCTATACAGTTTCTATCTTTTTATTCTTGCAGATATACCCGCTGAATTTTTGGGTTATCCAACTAAAGGTTTTACACTTTTATCCATTTATGGTGTTCCCCAATGATTGAAATGATTTCCTTTTTTATTAATGTGCTTCTAAGGTGTTTTTCAATCCAAATATTATTTTCCCTTTTAAACGGTACGTGCGCATATTGTATCTTGAGCAATTTCTAGAAGATTAAAAAAATACACATGTTCGAGTTCTATTTGTATATACGATTGAAATAGATTTCGGCATTCGTACGTTTGATCGAGTTCGAATGGTAAGCGATCGAAGTGAGACTTCGAGACGAGTTCCGAAGATAGTACAAACAAGCTTCGAGCTCCAAGACCGATCGAGGAATCGGCTCGATATCATTATCGAGCCCATGACCAAATCGAACCGCTAAGCAACGTGAAGGATGTCGGAGACGCACAGACCGATTGACACTCACCCCGAATGTCGAACTCGAACCAAGGTCGAGGGCTCGACCCAATACCGAGCTCGAGCCAGTATCGAGCTCGCAGATAAGAGCCATTGCAACCGCACTAGGGGAGAGAATCTTGGCAGGAATCGAGAAAGAGATAATTTATCATGGGTTCTCCACTATATATTTTTTTTTTTTAATAAATAAAGTAAGATTCCTCTACTATAAAGGGGGAATCCTTGTAAGCATAGGGAAGGCACACATTGTAAGAAAAAACTATTTCTCTTGTTGAAGAATAAATCTCTTGAGCTTGTTTTACTCAGCATACTCACTCTTCTTATTCAATAATTTATCTCTCGTTTATAGCCAAGAATCTAAACATTTCTACTTCTACGTATGATTTATGTTAAGCTATATCACATATCCTTAGAACTACTTATAAATTTAACTATATCTGATTTTTCGGGTAAAAATTTTGGCGCCCACCATGGGGCTAAGGGAAACAGTGGTTGTTTGATACAAATCTTCAATACACACCAGTTTACAACTTTAAATCAGCAATGGCAAACCCTCGATTGGTGGCTTTACCTATCGACCACGAAGCCGGCCTTCAAGATGAAACTAACAACTTAATACCCAGGGCCGGAAGGCCACTTAACGATGTCACTGAAACTCGAGTCGAAGTACCTGAAATCCGAGTCAAAGTACCGCTAGACGTCAATTCGCAAGTGGCTCTTGAGGCGAACCAACATTTCGAACCGGAAAAAAGCATTCAAGGTGGTACTCGATCCGTAGCTCGAAACACCCATAATGTGGGGGAGATCGGAGTCAGCTTACAGATGATTTTCGAGATGTTACAAGCCCAGCAAATAGCGATAGCTCAGTTGCAGAGCCAAACTCAGGTACAAAGTAGGCCGGAGCCCAATCCGCTTCGAGAAATCACCCACAGAACGGATCCAGCCATAGTGAAGTCAAACGAGCAAGAATCGGGGACTACTCCCGAAATTACTAAATTACTCGAGGAACTCATAAAATGAGTCGAAGCCAACGATAAAAAAGTAAAAACATATAATTCCAAGGTCGATCAGATCCCGGAGCTTCACTAATGGTAAAAGGGTCGGATTTGAAAAAATTCATACCAAAGCCTTTTCCCTCGAGTGCAGCCCCAAAACCAATCCCCAAAAAATTCTGTATGTCCGAAATTCCCAAATATAACAGTACGACCAATCCCAACGAACATGTCACCTCTTACATGTGTGCCATCAAGGGTAACGAATTGGAAGACGATGAGATCAAATCCGTGTTATTGAAAAAATTCGAAGAGACCCTCTCGAAGGGAGCGATGATTTGGTATCATATTCTGCCACCAAATTCCATAGATTATTTTGCCATGTTAGCGGATTCATTTGTAAAGGCACATGCTGGTGCCATAAAGGTTGCAACGAGGAAATCAGACCTCTTCAAAGTAAAACAAAAGGGTAATGAAATGCTGAGTTTGTGTCCCGATTTCAAATGGAACGCATGGAATTGCCACCGGTCACAGACGCCTGGGCCGTCCAATCTTTCACCCAAGGGTTGAACGGCAAAGTTCAATAGCATCATGTCGGTTGAAGCAAAATTTGACTGAGTATCCAGCGATAACTTGGGCGGATGTACACAACCGATATCAGTCAAAAATTAGGGTCGAAGACTACTAGTTGGGAGCTCCTTCCGGATCCGTGCATCAGAAAGGGACAGCTATTAAAAACCAGAGGGACATCGATAGAGAGCAAAGGCCGAACAGAGACCGATATTAACCGTACGTCGCAGATCGAATGAACAACGGTTCGACATGCAATGTCGCTATCGAAGGAGTGATCGAGGATAAAATTCTCGAGGGCTTATGAGCAAGAGTGGTTTTGATAAATATGCCGATCCTATAGAGGCACCTCGGCTATCGGAGTAAAATTTCAGCGTCGACGCATCGGGCATTGTATCGGCGATCGGAAGAATCAAAGATATTAGGTGGCCCAGATCCCATAAAAACCGACCCTTCCCAAAGGAACCCGAATTCGATGTGCAAATATCATGGTACGCATGGCCACAGGACCGAGGATTGCAGAAAATTAAGAGAAGATGTAGCCCGTCTATTCAATGAGGGCCACCTTCGAGAGTTCCTCAGTGACCGAGCCAAGAATCACTTCAGAGAAAGGGATGCTAGCAAATAAGATAAACAAGAGGAACGTATGCACATCTTTCATATGATTATCGGTAGGGTCGATACTCCACAAGGACCCGTGCTCAAATACGGCAAGATACCGGCCACAGGGGAAAAACGAACTCGAGGTTATGTACCCGAGGGCACTTTATCATTCGGAATTGAAGAAGTTGAGGGTATATCTCAACCTCACAACGACGCTCTGGTAATTTCTATCCTATTAAATAAAGTTCAAGTTAAGCGTGTCTTAGTGGATCCAGGTAGCTCTGCGAATATCATCCGATCTTGGGTAGTTGAGAAGCTCGGTTTACAGAATCAGGTCGTGCCCATAGCTCGGGTCTTAAACGGCTTCAATATGGCCAGTGAAACAACTAAAGGGGAAATATTCTTCCCATAAATATGGCTGGAACTATCCAAAACACCAAGTTCCACGTAATCGAAGGCGATATAAGGTATAATGCCCTACTCGGAAGACCATGGATCCACAACTTGAGGACAGTGCCTTCGACTCTACACCAAGTGATGAAATTCCCTACGTCGGACGGCGTGAAGACAGTATACGGGGAGCAACATGTTGCGAAGGAAATGTTCGCGGTCGATGAGATAACACTGATACCAACATTATCGGCCTAAGAAATGTCGAGCACAAAAGATAGGCGAGAAACCAAATAGCAATCACAGCAACCAGTCTCGACCGAATCGGTGAAGCATGAAATAGAATATGACGAGGAAGAGTTTCCGACACCTCGAGCTCTCATCGTCCCTGACGACTCCAACGCCACCAAGTCGACGATCGAAGAACTGGAGCAGGTTATATTAATCGAACGTCTGCCCGAGAGAAAGGTATACCTGGGAACGGGGTTGACCCCCGAACTCAGGAAAAAACTTATTCAATTTCTTATTGATAACATAGATTGTTTTGCTTGGTCCCATTCAGACATGACAAGGATCCCACCATCGATAACAACGCACCAGCTGAGTTTGGACCCTAGGTTCAAACCGATGAAGCAAAAAAGAAGACCTCAATCCGAGGTAAAACACGCATTTGTAAGAGATGAGGTAACTAAACTTCTCAAAATAGGGTCAATTCGGGAAGTAAAATATCCCGAATGGTTAGCCAATGTGGTTGTAGTCCCCAAAAAAGGGAAAAACTTAGAATGTGTGTAGATTATAAAGATCTAAACAAAGCATGCCCCAAAGATTCTTTTCCACTGCCTAGTATCGATTGCTTGATCGATGCCACAGCCGGCCACGAGATCCTTACTTTTCTCAACGCCTATTCCGGGTACAATCAAATTAGCATGAACCTAGAGGACCAAGAAAAAACTTCATTTATCACTAAGCATAGAACCTATTGCTATAATGTAATGTCATTCGGGCTAAAAAAACGCAGGGGCTACGTACCAACGCCTAGTGAATAAAATGTTCGAAGAACAAATAGATAAATTGATGGAAGTTTATATTGATGACATGTTAGTTAAGTCCCTGAGTGCAGAGGACCATTTAACTCATTTGCAGGAAATGTTCAAAATTTTAAGAAAATACAACATGAAGCTCAACCCCGAGAAATGTGCTTTCGGGGTTGGATGGGGCAAGTTCCTCGGGTACATGGTGTTGGATCGGGGGATCAAGATCAACCCCGACAAAATCAAAGCCATAGAAGACATCACCGTTGTGGATAGTGTAAAAGCAGTGCAAAGGCTAACCGGACGGATAGCTGCCTTAGGCCGATTCATTTCAAGGTCGTCAGATTGATGCCACAAATTCCTCTCTCTACTAAAAAAGAAGAGTGATTTCACCTGGACCCCAGAATGCCAACAAGCATTAGAACAACTGAAGCGGTACCTATCTAGCCCACCATTACTTCACACTCCGAAGACAGATGAGAAGCTTTACTTATACTTAGCGGTATTGAAAATCGCGGTAAGTGGTGTCCTAGTTCAAGAAGATCAAGGTACGCAGTTTCCTGTTTATTATGTAAGTCGGACCTTAGGAGAGGCAGAGACTAGATACCCACACTTAGAGAATTTGGCGCTTGCATTGATAAGCGCCTCTAGAAAGTTAAGACCATACTTTCAATGTCACCCCGTATGCATTCCAACAACTTTCCCACTTCGAAACATTTTGCATAAGCCCGAACTATCGGGCTGACTGGCCAAATGGGCCGTCGAACTCAGTGGGTATGATATTGAATATCAGCCTCGAACGGCCATCAAGTGCCAAATTTTAGCAGACTTCGTGGCCGATTTCACACCAACCCTCGTACCCGAA